TTCTGTAGTTTTCAAACTTAGCTGGAAGGGAAGAAAGCCTCAACTGGGCGGTTACTGATCTTGCTGGCATCTGTATGTCTGCTGTGTGGAGTTAGCAAGAGCATTTGTACTTGCAGCGATGCCTCACATTCACCATTGTCACCATTGTCAACATAAAAGCTGCAACATGCATATGAGAGAAAAGGAAGTGGAATCAGTACTTTACAAATGAATGCAACTTTCATTCTTCAAGTACGGGTACTAATGAAACTGGTTGTATTGTACCATTTTAACAACTACAGATTGAATGGTGGAATGCACATTTGATATACAGGAGTGGCAGTGGCCCCAGAAATGGCAGAAAAAGCAGCAGAGCTTGAGTGCAGTGACAGGGCAAGGGGTCATCTCAGCTGAAGGAACAGCAACACCTCACGAGCGGGTATCACCATCAGAGAGAGGTTCACAGAGTATGTCTTGTTGGGTGAAGATGCAGTGTCATGGCAGGCACATTGTTTAATATCTGACCAAAGCAATGTAGGTATAGTCATGATTCTCATTCATTTTAAGGCAAGTCTCTTAAAATTGTGTGTTTACGTTATGGGGACTTGCGTTTGTCCCATGTGATTGTACAGACAGATTTATCTCCCCATGACATGAGTAATCCACGCTCTCTCTTACACACACTCACACACACAGCTAATATATGAGAATATATTGTTTTAAATAATATAGCAGTTCTTTGCAATGCAAAGACATACTTGATATGTGAGGACATACAGTATTTTAACAGACAAGATAGCTCTTGTCTGTCTCACTCTTGTCCAACTTTTCACACCATTCACACCCCTTCATCATTTTTTTCTCTCTGTTGCATATTTTTTTTCATAAGGTGTCACAGCGAGAAGTGGGGGGGTGGGTGGCATGACAACCAGTGGTATTTAGTACACATGCAGTTCGTTGCAGTGACATCACTAATGCGTAGTATTTGGACCATTTTAAAGCACCGTGCCCAAACTGGTGTATCACTGAAACACACAATGCTATTTGTGTGATCTCACTGTTTATCTACATCCAGTATGACCTAGTAAATGCTGATACCTGAGGACATATTACACCATGCACAGTCAACAAGGACAAGAAGCCCAATTTAATACACAACATCATCACAACTATGTTCTAGTTTCACAATAAAATCCTACCACTGCCTTTCCACTCAGCAATAGCTTTACATATCAACATTAGCTCATTAGGTGCCACCTGCTGTCAAAAAGCTGTTTGAGAAATAGAATGACTGGCGGCAAATTATTGGGAGTGAATGCTAAGTCAGCATTAACTTTATTGTACATGTTTTTACACGAGTTTTAGCATGTTAAACTGAACAAGGGGAACGTGTTGCTCTAAAGAAGAGAGGCGGCAAATGCAGCAAATATTCATACAATGGCATGCTGGCTCTGGCTTAATCTACATCTGTCCACTGCAGAGGCACTATCCACCTGGAGGAGTAACTGGTATAAATTTGTGTATTAGTACAATATTATAACAAAAAATAAAAGTTTAATGTTAGTATAATACTGCTAATACTATCGTATATAGCTTACCACTTGTAGGCCTATAAAATTAATTCCAGTTACAGCGGTTTCATTATGGTACAGTGTTCTCATTCATTAAATCCTTTTGCAAGAAAAATGCTCTACATGGTGGTTAGTCTCTAATTTTTTAATCAATAATCAGAACCATTCATGCAGACGAGTTTAACATTTCAAAAGTTTGCTGTACCATGTCAGCCTGTTTTTAATGTCCCGCCACTTCAGGCTGCAACTGGTCGTTTCACAAAAAGTGACATTGATAAGCAACTTTATGCACACGCTTGGATAAAAAAAGCACCCGACCTTCTCCCTACTCCGTCTGCACCGGTGGAGAGTGCAGACAAGAGCACCAGCCAGGGGCGGATTGGCCATCTGACAATTCTGGCAAATGTCAGGACCATTTGTTTTGGGTTGGGTCAGACAGATTGATAATAATATCAGTCTTTCCCACACATAGACTTTACTTAGGTGGGTGCATTAACAGCCGCCCATGTATATTAGGTGACCCATTTAAGCATTTTGCAAAGAAACACTGAGAGAGATATTATCTATTATGTTATAAGACACAGGCACGGTGGATATTTTACAAGCACAGACCAGGTAAAGCAACAGTGAACACACTGGTGCAGATATAACTGGGTACATTGTTGGTTTTCGGTTTTGATAGGCTTCCTCACTAACAAGCTTCCTCCGCGCACGGAATCACGCAACTTTATAAAACATAGCCCACTGCTAATGGAGAAAGTCAACAGGGCCGACAAATACTGGGAGAGAGAAAATGAAAAAGGTAGGGCCAGCCGCTGTGTTTGCGGCAGAGGTGTGTGTGCGTGCTTGTGTGGGAATATTAGAACTGAAGGCAAAGAGAGCAGATTCAAGTAGGGAAGTGAGTAAACACTAAACTAAAGGTGGAGAATGAAGTAGAATTAACCTAAGCTTCTAGAATAGTCATTCTGTCAGAAACAGTGAATATATATATAAATAAATTGTTTTTACAGGACAACGTTATATAAGATGAGGTTTTATCACTTGCACACATTTACTATGGGTGTAATAATAATATGCCTAATAATAATAATAACAAATATAAAACATTTGGCCCAGTTGGCAACGGCCTGAGATGGGCTGACCAACTCGATTAGGCTACTTAAATTGGGACATTCTGTCAAAATTGAACACCTCATCAGAGAGAGTGCAACTTAATCTGATTGTCAGTGAAGTTACTTTTGTCAGAACAGAAAACCATGACCCTTTCTACTTCTGCCATTTACCAGACTTCCTTGTTTTTATTCATGTGTATTCCAGTGTTGAGATCAGTGTGTGAGAAAACATTTTCCTACAATGTTCACATCCTATACTGAGTTCAAGAACTAGGATGCTGCTGGAATCCGTACAGCCAGAGTCCAGCCTGCTCTTCTAGTACCAGTGCTGTGAGGAAGGATGCTACTGTAGACCTAGCAGAGACAGGGAGGAGGGTGGTAGAGGTAGGAAGGAAACAGTGACACACAAATGTTTCGGTTTGTAAATAACTCTACAATAGAGAAAGACAGTAACAGCAGACAGACAGAGAGCACACAGACTCTACAACATACTCAGATGGACAGCCATTGTTTTAACTGTGTAAATTTGTTATAAACATGTGTAAAAGTATTGAGCATTGTGTGCCGGTCGCATACATTAAATGTTACAAATTGGTTACATACGGCAGGCCTACTGTTTATATTATTTCACCATCTATACACAAATGTAGCCTAAGTAGTAAATGTGTGTTTGTGAGTGGGGATGTGTGGTAATGTGGGCTGGTGTGGCTACAGTGCCAGGGCTGAATTTTTGTCCCAGTCCGCCCCTGGTACCGGCAGCTTGTGCCGGTACGAAAGAGGGAGCTCAACTTCCAGAGGCCTAAAAGACAGTGGTCAGCAGCAGTTCTAGCCAAAGTCAGGAGGTTCAGTGGCAGTGCTAGAGGCATGTACCAAAGTAGATCAGGCTTTGTTGCAGAGTCCGAGTTAAGCATCTAGGTGCAAGTTCACTCTCAAGTCAAGTGTCCAGTCAAACTTGATTAGTTGCATTAGGTGAGTCTCAACACATTTTATATCCACCAAAATAACCCGATATGAGACAACCAACAAAACAATACAATGTGTTATAATATGCATACATACACAATAAAAACTGTCAGGCAGAGCAGGATTATTAAACATTTATCGGGACACCTTGTCCGACTAAATACATTTACTCAAGTACAAATTGAAACACTTGTACTTTCCATTTTATGCTACTTAATACTTTTACTCTACTACATGTCAAAGGCAAATATTGTACTTTTTACTCCACTGCATTTGTCTGACAGCTTTAGTTTAGTTATTTTTATTCTTCTCTACTTTCCATGTCCTAAATAGTGAGATGAAGTGTCCCTTTTCTCACTTTGTTCTCACTCTACAGACAAACACATAATGATCTCATATCTGTAGATGCTGCTGTAAAGTATTTCAATTTGAAACCTCTTAAAAATTGCGACACACACATTAATGCAGCAGTTATATTAATGTATTATAATAGTAAAACACTGACAGGGACAATTGTACTGTACAGTAAATATTATCACTTTAAGAACTGTCACTGTATTTTACTGATAATTATTCTAATGCTTTTGAATGCAGGACTTACTTGTAGTGGTGTATTTTCAGTGTGTTGTTATTACTTTCATGGAAGTAAAGGATCTGAACACTTCTACAATGTTCACACATACGGTAGTACAAATTGGATGGCAATAATATGAGCTTGTTCAGAACAGACCATACGGAAAAGTGGCGCGGCCAGCGCCAATCATTACAGCCAATCTACTCATCCGGCTACAGGCCGCAGCCGGATGTTATTGAATATTTAGGCTACAGATTAAAATTTTGTGCACCGTGCTTCCAGACCTGTCTCATCCCAGGGCGTCTGATACCGACGCTTTGTCAGGCTTTCTCAAAGATTCGATTTGTTCCAAAATAACACAGTTAGTATGCACTTAGTATAGTACAATTAAAAAGTCATAAGCACATTTTAAAAAAAGCAAGTAAATCTTTTTTTCCACTTAAGGTATTATAATCCATTGCTGTTCAGATATGCAAGCTGTCAACAACAACTTAAAGTGCTCCATTAACAGAGGAAAGGTACGAACAAATAAGCAGCAGCCAGCAGAAACATGAAATACCAGGATCCATCATTACATGATCGAGCCTCAAGGCAGTTGTGTGACTGCAGAGTTGGTGCAAGGGTGAAAACACAGTAATTTGCGTTGACGTAGCACTCTGTCCATCAAACCCATCAGGTTAAATCAAGTTGAATTACATACGTTGACTGATTTGAGGCTAATTTGGTTTTCAGGTACTTCTGTATTAAGCTCCAAGTTGGCTTTATTGGAACTTTCAGATGATTTCTGACCAACATGACAACTCAGACTCTTGGGTGTTTGAGTCGGTTCAGGGCGTCTTCTACAATGTCCAGCTCATGACGAATGTCTTTCACCATGCTATTGATGCTGCTGGTGTCCTTCAGGATGTCCACACTCCGCGTGTAGGGGTTGTACCGTACTGTGAACGGACGCCGAATGGTCTTGGCAAACTCCCTGCAGATGCAGCAAAGTCATGTACTCAACATAATGGTATACATAAAATATGGTCACCCTAATTTCCCAATATGTTGAACTTTTCTAGGTTGCAATGATGAAACTTTGGCCATCTGATACTAAAGTGCTGGGTAATGACAATTGGTTGGAATACTTGCTCAATACAACAGAGATGATCTCAAAACATGTTAGATAATAGATTATAGCTACATTATTAAGGAAGGACTGTATTTACACAGAATTCTACTGACCTCATTTTGTTCTTGGCTTCCTCAAAACTCTGTGAGACAAAGTAAACTTCTTGGAACGTGGTTATTTTGCACTCCTGATTACAGGTCACCATGGGGTCAAACGGAAGGATATGGGCCTTGCCAGACAAAGCATGCTGATAGAAGAAAGAGACATTGTGGTTTAGTTGTTAGATTTTAGTAACAAGACACATTTACATATTGAGAGAATGCCCTTCTGGTTGGTCAAGCAACATGGTTTTGGCTACTGCGAACTGAATGCTCTAACAAGGTTACAGTGACGTAGATTGGCACACAGAATAGGACAAATGAGAGGTGTTTTGTCTTTCCGCTAAAAATACTTAAAAATAAATAGTAGTAAAATTGTTTCCTCTTAACACTTATTGCTGTAGATGAGCTGATAATACAGGAATTTGGTTGGTGAGGGTCGGTCAGTATTAAGATCACGATCATGAGAAAAACGATGAATATCTACAATCAATGGGTTTGTGGTAATGAAGGAACTATGGAGGTGAAAAGAAAGTTTCTCAGCCCAGGAGTTAGGTTCGTAGTTTGTTGAAATCTTTAAACAAAAAAATTAAGCCTGAAACCTGAAACTAAAATGCAGTTATATGGAAATAGTATAGAGTAGAGTAGAAACACAGCGCAGCAGATGCATCTGTGCTGTATTAAGCTAGACAGCAGGTCATATGTCACCTTGAGTTCACTGATGGAGGAGAGGAGTCCAGCTCCATAGGCCCTTAGCCTGCCATCCTGCTTACATAGACCAAACTCCACTGTGAAGAAATAACACTAGAACAAAACAGGGTGCAACTTTAAAATCATCCTAATAATATACATCATCCCATCATCAAATAATAATATACATTTGACTAAATTGTTTGTTTGTCTGCTCTCAATTTAATCTTAAAACTTTCTAATCACTGTTTTTGTTCTGTTGTTTTAAGGGTGGTTTACGGTATCCCACCTGCAATATTTGCAATATGACAGTCAGCTGCTCAACAGCATTGGATCTCATAAGTGTTGTGTTAAAATAAAATCTAGGAGACACACAAGCAGCCAAAATGTGAACACGAGAGCTGGTTTAAAAAAAAAAAAATAAAGTGTGTTGTAACATTGCACAGTGAGTGTGTGCGTGTATTTTCTCACTGTGGCCAGTTTCTGAATGTCGTCATCTGAAGCTCCCAGCGATGCTAAACCAATCTCTTGAGAGAACTGGGCGAAGCTGGGCTCAGCAAGCAGAGGAACATGACCCAGTAGCTCATGACATGTGTCTCTGCATCAAACACATAGTGTCACATAGTAGCGGTGGTGGAAATGGGGTGAAGGCACGGGCGTAAAAGTCTGCTCTGATATATTCACTGTCAATCACTTATAGTTGTTTACACGTTTATGCCTGTTGAACAGGTGTATTGATACACACGGTTTCTTAGGTGGTCATGAAATATAACTTATTGTGCTTTAATGCACCACAAATCCAGCTACTGTCCATACAGCCAAGGCATGATCCAAAGTGATGTTTCTGATTCTGCATTGTCATCACTACTGGCTACAGGCGAGATACATGTACATTACATCCGGAGGGCACATAAAAGGACGCAGTAAACTAACTATCGAGGCACTTTTCCCTGTGATTATGCTAAAGTTACATTGTGAACAACAAATACATGTTTAAATCAACTCCTCTACAAAGACACACATGGAGCAAAGTCAGTGGTCAGTGGTTGGAGGCGCTGGAGAAGTGAACCAGATGAAGATAACTCCAAGATTACTTGATTTGACCACTACTCATTACTGTGACTTAGTGCAGTAAAACCATGGCAAGTAAAAAGCCAGTACTTTATAAATCATATATATATACAGTACTATATAAAAAATATTATCAGCAAGCATAAACATGTAAACATGAACAAAGCGTAGATAGTAAATATAGAGACTTTGCTGTGACATTATTGTTGCTGCCCTCGAAACAACATTCAGTTCTAATCCTGTTCTGAATTAATTCTCTTTTTTAGGACTATATTTTTTTAAAAGCCGTTTTAGTGATGAAAAAGAACCAATAAGAGTAGTAGTATGGATGAAACCCTAACAATACCTATCCCTAAACACGAGGTCAACACTACAATATGTCAAAAAACACATTTTAATGGGGACCCACTTAATTTCCCTGGGACTCACTACAGTTAAAACCTTTCAACATCACTTAAGCTGTCAAAAAAACTCATCAACACTGATGGTGGTTCACTTTCCTCAAACATTTGTGGCATCTTTGACATATCTAGTCTAGTTTACGTAACATTAATCTTGATTATATGACCGTTCGTGTTATTGTTGGACAGGAGAGAAGAGGAAACAATGCAGCGGAGAGGAGACAGCATCAAAGCAGCAAAGCAGAGAGAACATAAATAAGCCAAATCATCAACACTGTCATCAAGAAAATAAGATCTCTACAATCTTTGCAATCAATAAAATCTGTAAGAATGAATATAATGAATGAATAATTAATCAAATTTTCCAATGACACCTCTCCCACCTTCCGACCCCCACACAAATATATTCCCCTAGTAAAAGTATGACTGTGGAAGGCAGAGCAAATGAATGAGTTGTGTGCGTGCATGTGTGTACTCACGGTTCAGGTGTATACAAGGGCTCAGAACTGTGACGGACATACTGAGTGCAGTGGAATACTCTGAAGGCCAGGCCTGCTAGAAAGTCTCTGGGGGAGAGGTACCCTGCCACTGGTCGAATGATGAAGCCTGAGCGCTCTATTCAACACACACACACACACAAAATACTGGGTCTGTTTCTTTGGTAGAAAGAAATTCCAGTGAAAACTGTTGACATCAAAGTCTGTGGATTACCCAGATTACCACGGACAATGGGCCTCATACAAGAACTACAAACACATTTACTTAAAGCAACATTACGAAGTAATTTTTTATTAAAATAACAGCTTCAAAATAACCTGACTTGTATTAGGGTTAATGGCGTCTCTGTCATTGCCTCTCCGGGCCCAGGACACCTGCTATTAGACCATGTAACACTGGAATGTTCCAGAGAGGCTATGGACATTTTGTTAGCTAATGGCAGGGGCGAAGAGACAGAAGAGGATGTTGACGGAGGAAGCTAAGAAGAGAAACGTCGGAGCCAGATAACGAAAAGATATCCTGGGTATGTTGAACTTGTTTCATGGGAAAGGTCCCATTTGTTTCTCAGCTTGGATTACGCTGCCTGCCTGGTGTGTTTTGTTCTGTGTCAGCATTTAAACCCTCAGTTCTGTTCAGTATTTGTTGTCTCCTCATCATTTGTAGAGTGCCTGTTTCCATGGTATTTGAAGTACCAGCCCAGTTTTGCTTCAGCTCTGGATTTTGCTCTGTTTTGGTTGTTTGCTCTTTAGGACATGTTTCTGCATTTAAGATACGTTTTGGACTACTACCTTTGTAGCGCAAGCTTTTTGTTGTATTTAAATAATTATTTTACTGGATCTACCCTGTCAAGTGTCTGCATTTGGGTATCCCTATCTATGCATTTGGGAATTCCTGCCAGATTAAGCCAATGATCAAATCTCATGATCATGCACTTTGTATGTACAGGGGGTATTCATCAAATTGAAGTTTGAGTAATTCACAGATGAGTTTGTGTAGTTAAGACTCGGACTTGCTGAGTCTGACTTAGAACATTTGTATAAGCAAGCCTCAGTGAGTAAGAAAGGTTAAGGGTAAGATAAAAAAAAAAAAAGACAATCTTGCATAATTGTTTTCAGGACATTTAAGCATTTTCAAAGCTTTGAGCACCACAAAGAAAAGTGGGTCCATTTGCCTCCTTTGTAAAGGAGTAGAAGCATAAGAGAAGTTATTGAGGCTCACTATGCATCCTCAATATGATAGTAGAAAAAAATAAACAAAATCCTGATTTCCATGTTTTGTGTTTCAATCTTTTAGTCTCCAAAATAACTTATTCACAATTTACATGAGCTGTGAGTTAATGTTAATGCACAAACATTACATTGAATGTGCCCATCACACAAACACATGAAATGTATTTGTGTCAATCTGTTGCATGGATAGGAAAATGCTTTCTCACTTTTATTGCACGTCTTTTGCTTTATGCAGTTTACATTGATTGGTAAGTATCTGTTGAACGATTTCAAATAATAAATCAGCAAGTAGGCTAAAGCTCCATGTTGAGTCATATTTATGGTAACAAAAAAATAATCCTGAACAAATCTGGCCCACTATGAGTTTGTGGAGCTGATATCATCTTGTCATTAGATAAAATGCTGCTGAGGGCACTTCAGCATCAGCTTACACTCTGAGCCATGGCAGATGTTGTTATCACGTGATTTGCTAAGGCACTTCAAATTATCAAAACTGGCTTAGAATTGAAACGTTACCGTTGAGGAAGTGTGAGACATCCTCCAGCTGGGGGATGTTGTCTTCGCTGTAGTTACAGTATTTGGTGAGCAGAGGGAGGTTCTTCAGATGCTCCTTGCAGGCATGGCTGAGGTACAGCTTGTTGAGCTCCCTGAACACCACACCCCAGGTATGCACCTCCTCTGCTGTGAAGTCTATCCGAAATATAGGATCGCCCCTGACAAACAGAAGTTAGCTTACTGGCTTCAATATAAATAATTTAAAATCCGATAAATAAAACACAAGATAAACAACATAGCAATGTAGGGAATTCTGTGTACATTTGTGTCAGATCTCAAACTGGTTTCACTTCATAACTGTCAAAAGTGTGTTTCTTTTTATTACAGTAGGCCTAACTCTTTAAGAAGGTCATTATTATTCTTCGGACTCAAAGGATTTTTCCGGTTAACCCGGAAAGCCGGATCGCTATATGAAAGCACACACACGTGTGCGGGATTACGCGGCGGACATTCATCCACGTTTATTGAGGGATCTCGGTGTGGAAGCAGCTTTTAAGACTCTTTCCCTGCTTCTCATCATAGCACCTGTGGCTTCCTACACACCTGAAGCAAGTTCCAGTAATCAACCTTTCCTGTGTTTAGCCACAGCTCTACAATCAGTCTCTGCACATGCTTCAGCTTAGTGTTTAGTTAAGTTCGCTCTTTTTGCACCAGTTGTCTTGATTCCTGTCTGATTATTAATTGTTTTCTTGCTCCTGTCTCAGATCATCGCTTCAGCTGTGGAAGCCCAGCCTGCCGGCCTGTTCTGTGTTTTTTGGATCACCCACCCTCCTGTCTGCATACTCTCTGCCACTGCCCTTCGGATCACTTTATAGCCCCATTCTCTTTTGTTCAATAAACCCCAGTGTCTGATTCTAACCTTGCCTCTGTGTCTGCTCCTGAATCCAAATATAACTCAGCTCAACAATAATATGAGATATAATCCTATTCATTTGCTGAGTGGGCTATTAACCTTACCCTTTCTTCTATTCATTTTACTGACAGGTCTCCACTGGATGTAATATTGATTTGATCATAAAGTCAGTCCTCTTGTTTAATAAATCGCTCTACATCCCAATTGAGACAATTGTCTCACACCTTTTATTTCTTGTTATCGATTACAGAAATAAAGCAATCTGTGTGTGTGTCTGTCTGTTTGTATTTCGATTATGTCAGGAACCGGTCACCCAATCGGCTTCAAATGTGGAGGATGTGTTGTTGTGGACCCAAGGGAGTGCAGTGTTGCGTTTGGTGCAATTTGAACACACAACATACTCAGAATGACTAAATATACAAGGGAACAGTGGAGCTCTGCAGCAGCGATGGCAGGGAACACTCACTCGGGCGGGGCTTATGGTGCTCAGCACCGCAATAGCGAGAGTGGGTTATGATGGCAGGGACGGGGCTTATATGCTCTGATGTGGTAAGGTATAGTTGACGTTACATGGAAGTTACTCCCTCATACTGACAATATGTCTTCCAACCTCCATGTGTAGGCCAATTACAACATCCACACTGGCAGGTGCACACTGCATTTAAACTGGGAGATCTTTTCAATGCTTTTACATTAACAATTATTTAAAAGCAACATTAAATTCCATTTAGCATATCATACTCAGACACACTCAACACCCTTTCTTTGTTGTGTTTGATTTCAAAAGAAATCAAGGGCCAAGCCTTTACATGAAAAACACCATCAGACTGAAATCACATGCAAAACTCACACAATTCCTTTTCATGACATTAAGAATTTTTTGCTTGTTTACCCTAATGTACTTGTTCCTCTTTTTGATTTTGTCTTTATGCATCATCATCCTATTTCTGAATACTATTGACATAATTTTATTTGGTCTGGAAGTTGCTAATTCTTTTTTATTTATTGTCAGTTTTGTGCAGATGGAGAATATAATGATAGGTGTGTTTTTGATATTATATTTTTATTTTGCCTAACATGGTGCGTCTCAAGGGATTTATCCTTCATTTTTGAAACATGTCAGCTAAATCAATTTTATACATGAAAGCAAAATGAAACAATTTGAAGTGAATCACATTTAAATAAACAATGGAACTTACTGTTTGTAGCTCATAGCCAAATCAGCAAAATATTTTCTTCTTTTACGATATATGTTGTCTTTAAATCCCTGCAAAAACAACACACTCACAATCTCAATTTATATTTTCACAATTTTATAGTTATAAAAAAAAAAAAAAGGATAAGCCATTTTAGACAAGAAACAAAAAACCCACAGGTTACTCTGTAACAACTGTATCTGTCCTACATACCGGATGATCAGCATCTAATTCAGAGCCATACATCAAAACCCTGTTCGCACACAGATCCAAATCAGAGACCTTCTTAGGGAACCAGGGCACATCAGCCATATCTGCAATACAAATTAGGTTAAATTATTTTAAAGTTGCTTGTATCTCATAAATTTTCTGCTAGACCTTCCATGTACTTATGAGTTAACAGTTACAAAACAGGCGTGTGAGTTAGATTTGAACCATATAAGCTATTAATGTTGATTGTACATCATTTAAAATATGCCCACCATCATCAGGGAGAGTGGAGTTGTCAAGTGGGGTCATCTCAACAATATCAGTATGCTTCCTTAGCAGCTGAGTCAGCTCCTTAAGTTGTTTATGGTCAGTGTCACAATCCACAAAGATCTCAAAGTCTGAATTCCTTCGTTTGGACTTGCGGGACTCGATATGAATGAGGTTGACATGTTTTTCCTGCACATGTATAACATAAGAAGAAAAAATGCGGAACCTCTTCCAAACACAATTAAACATATCCAGAGAAGATTATTTCAACAAAAAATATTCAGAAACTTGACTACTAATTTAAAGATGAAATGATGAGAAGGCATGTTTTTGTAAATGAAACACCCACCTGGAAAAGCTTAAGGGCCTTGACAAGACCACCGACTTCATCTTTCACTGAGAATATGATAGTTGCAATGCCTTTCTCAGAGCTGGTGGGCTTTCCAGGGGAGCTGCTCTTGTTGTCCGGGCTCTCATCAATTTTACTGAAGGTAACCTTATAAATTTAGTGTAAAAAAAACAAAACAAAGAAACATTTATGGATTTTCTTTTTCCATTTATGCTTGTTGAGACTACCTGATTAAATAAAGATTATATTTTTTAAAAGACCGGTTGTTATGGCCATTCTAGAGCTCTACATTGTGGGACACAGAGACTGGCCCAATGCATACTGGAGATCTTTTCGGTAAGACATCTGGGTATTTTTTAGCTTTCAATCGATTTTGCTTTTGTTTGTATACTGCATTCTCCATGGTATATATTTGCCAAATACTGCTGGTATTGTAGCCGGTTTTGAGTACAGCCATCTAGATCTTATACAGCCAGTCAAGTCTTGCATAAAGCAATAACTACACAGACTCTGAATAATTAACCAACATTAGCTTTCCTGTTAAAGTCTTCTTGTTATCTAACTTACAAATATGAACACACTTCTTGTCCTGCACCTTAGCTTGTTAAACGAGTCACCAAACAAGCATTCACAGAGATAAAGTGCACTGTTGTGTACAGCATGTAAACAATATCACTCCGGACCTGTTAGATGCTGGTGTGGTCCTTACTCTTCCATACCACTAACAACATGACATGTAGGCTACAACGCAAATAAGTTTAACACTGGCACTCTGGCAGTCTTCCAGCTGCTATCAATCAAACACAGACACAGCCAGCCCTGCAGCCAGCTGAGACAAAAAGGAGCATTTCTGATATAAAATAAAAAAAATGCTTTGATATTATTTTTGATTACGAAATGAAAACAAAATGTGGTTTCAGTTGTAAACAATCTTTCACTAAGCTTATACCAATCAGAAATCATTTGACAGCTTTGTCAGCTCTAGTGGTTAACAATTTTGAAGTTACCTTTACTTAAAACTGCTACTAAAAAAGCCAAGTCCTTTAGCTGAGGCTTTTCACATATACCACAAGCATCGTTAGTGCTACTTACTTCATTGTTGAGCTGCTTCTCCTCAGACTCAAAAGAACATCTTTTGCGTGGTCCCTGTTCGTCTGACTTTTTGGCATACATGGCTGTCTCTAGATCAGCAGTAGAAAGGTAATATACAATTAATGCTCAGTATAGTTGTTTGTTCTGCACCAGCTACCGCTAAACTTGAAACTAGATGACAGTGAGTTCTCTGAAAGGAAGAAAGCCTCTCTCAACAGTAGAAGACTTTTGGATCAGATACAGTTTGAGTTGCCAGCTGTACTGTAACACAGAGCAAAATGCTGGGGTATTTATGGAGCTTTAGTGGAGGGGAGGGTGCGAGAGGGAGCAGCTATTTCTTTCAGCAGGACGGAGATTAAGAAGGGTCAGAATAAACATTACTAATCATCACTAACGGGAAAATAGGTTCACACACTTTGACAGTCCAATAAAAAGCAATAGAATACCTTATTTATGAGCAACAAATATTAGATTTAAAATCTGAAACTGATATTTCTCTTTCAAAGGAATTATATGTGATTATATGCATGTTATGTATATGTTCAAAACACTATGGACATATTTGTTCCTGTCTTATGTTGAATTTTCTTCTGTCTGTTTGGTCTGTGTTTCTTGTTTCCTGTTTTACATTAAAGTTTTGTCTGCCCCTTGTGTCAGTGTCGCGTTGTACTTCCTGTGTATGTCTCACTGATTGCCTTAGTGGTTACACCTGTGTGTGATTATATTTGCCTCACCTGTGTATTTCGGTGGTGGTCTGTCTCTCATTTGTTGTGTTTTCGTTGTTCTGTATGGTGTGCTTCACAGTGGAGGTTTGGATTGCTTGTGTTTCATGTTTCCGGTTTATTCCCTGTGTTTTGGATTTATTTCTGTTGGACTCTTGGACTGTTTGCTTACCTCAGTCGTGGATTACCTTGTTTTGTTTGGACTGCCAACCAGCTTCACATCCACTGTTAGGGTGCTTTCACACCTGTAGTTCGGTTCGTTTGGTCCGGAACAAGTGGAAAAAAATAAAACTGTTGCATTTTAGTTCTGGTACGGTTCATGTTCACGCTGCAGTTTTACAAACGAACCGGAGTACTACTTGGTTTCCTATTTTAATATAATTAAGGAAAATACCTACGCTGGCAAGTAGGCTATATGTTACCAAATGATTTTCATAAACACAGAACGGTTTATACAGATCAATTATGAGATCACTGAACACATTTTGTGATCAGCAGATGGATTTATTAGTGGTTTAGCTTTGGAAATAATGCTCAGATCCCATCTCTGCTATCATAAAATCCTGTGGTTGGTTCGTTTGCTTTCACGCCACAAGCGAACTGCACCAGAATTTGTTTGAAAGCTACTGAGACTACCTCTTCAAGGAGGTCTTGGTCTGCTTGTTTGGTCAGCTTTTGGTGCGCACCCGAGCTCGATTGCTGCATTCACACCTGCCCAAACGAACCACACCAAGGGGGAAAACAAACTCTAGTTCCATTCAACCAAACTAAATGAGGCCGGTGTGTTTAGAATTTTGTTTAGTGTACTTTTACTTAAATAAATGGTCGGAATAGTTCTTCCACCACTGGCAACGCACTATGAGGGGGATCCAGCCACCACTGTTTTGTCACAGAGTGAAAACTCATCTGTTCAGACTGTACCTTGACCCACACTTTTTTTACTTATTGTTTCTAAATGTAGCATTTAAAGCATTTCAGCATATTTGATGGAGTTGATATACTTGCATGATTCTTGCAGTTGTATCCACATGGTTGTATGCACTCATTGTAAGTTTTTGGATAAAAGCTTCAGCTAATTAAGTGTAAAATAACTTAATGATGTCTGCCCTAAAATGCACTTAAGTAGAAAAGTGAAACACAACCAGGTTCATAACCAAACAGTTGAGAAACAAACAACAAACTTAAAGGTGCCCTGTAGAGTTTTGTTGTAAACAAAGTTTTTGTTTAAATACTGTATAGTATTTCTTCCACAAACACATTGTGCGGGGGCGGCTTGTTCATTAGGATAGACTGGGTGACGTACTTTTCTCACACCACACTGTTACTTAGCTGTGACTGTTTTTGACAGACAGTTTATCTCTGAATATTCCTGTCCAATCAGCGTCAAGTCGTTTATGCTCTGTAAAATGCCATAGGCTAAGCTAATCTTGATAGTTATTATAAAGCCAAATTTTATGCTTATGTTAAATGTGATTGTTATTAAGCCATGTTTTATATGTGGTGGTGGAGTCAATTTAAAATTAGCTGCACTTAACCAGTAACAATTATTTGATGTTGTGTTGTTTTTTTTTCTTCTATTGCCAGAAACCAAAGAAGAGGAGGAAGCTTGATGTGGCCACCAATGGCATCTTGTAAGAGGAGGGTAAAAAGAAGAACAAGTAGGAAAACAACAGAAAATAAACCAACAACAATAGAATATACCTTTAATATTTCCCCTTACATGCCTTGTTGTTTATGTGTAAATACAGAGGAAGAATGGGAGAACAGCACATAGCTCGTTTTTGCTGTGATTATAGAGTACAGGAGCAGTGGAGCCACCACTAATAATACTGTGTAACTACAGGATAACAAGTGTTTTTTTTTACAACTCTCTGCTTACCTTATTAGTCTTGTGTAATGTGAAAATGAAAAACTGTAAATAATTTTATTCATTGCACATCATCAGCCCAGTGTCACCGTGTTTTCTTCTGGATTTGTTGTTCCTAAATAAAAGGTTTGTCACAGCTAAATCAGATGATTGTGAGAGTCATCCTTTTTTTCATTAATGGTAAAATAGTTGCCTTTACATCCAAAGGTCTAAAGATGTGTTGATTTTTGACTGAGGACTGTTCATTCATTGTAGACATTGACAATGAACTTCAGTATGTAGCTGTTCACAAATTGCCCCCCTGAGAGATTTAGCAGGAGCCACCACTGGCACTGTGGATCCTTGAGGTCCAATAAACGTGTTCAATGCACTTCCTATTCTTACTCAGTTCAGTTCCCTTTTATTTATATAGTGCCAATTCATAACAGATGTTAAGTCATCACATCACACTTTTGATGGAGCAGAAGCCTGTACTACAAAGCGAGGTAACTGGCTTATCCAGTAACTTCATGAGTAACTTTGGGATGTCGGGTGTAACTTTCCAATTAACCCGTACTACGAAAGGTGGATAGGTTTTACTCGAGGTATTCTGTCATGGCAATTTACACTGCATCTTTAAACTGCTCCGAGCAGGTTGTCTTCGTGGTTAACTCAATGTTACCCTATAGACATGGATAGGCTATTATAAGTGTGGGCTACACAACACATCTGTACTATAATGTAATGATGAGACCGTTTGATCAAATATTTTAGATTTTACACAAGTGCTTTCCACTGTGGTTGCAGTTGAAATATAGTTATTCTTAACACAATAGCATTACATACAGATATCCCTGCAGCCTCTGATATCTAGAGAGTAGATCTTAATTCATTAACAGGTAAATTTCTGAGATGAAGCCCATCTTTCATATTGAATCATCCTACATATTTAGATTTAACATTTTTCATGTCCAAAAAATACAGAGCCAGGAGAGGTGGGTAAAAATCAGAGATAAAAGTATTACATTTAGAAGAACAAATTTCACAAGTATTTTCTCATTGTGAAATCTGGGCGCATAGTATAATTTGATTTATCACTGCGGGCATATTACACGGCAAGCAGCGGCATCTGTGGTGTGATGTTGCAACCTTGTGAAGTGAAGCCATGTGGTTCCTTCCCTTCTCTCATAAATTTATGAATAAAATGTGATTTTTCCAATAAATGTAACACTCGTGCATAAAATCCAGTTTAGTGGACCTTTAATCCACTAACCAAAATTTTATTCATGTCATAGTACCATTTAACTCCAATGCAGGCAGTCAGAGTTTGTCAGACCTGACTTTCCTTGATAACCCCGAGTTAAATCTGAGTAGGTTAAATACTTACTTTTTTATAGTACAGGCCTCAGGTCTAGACCATACTCTTTGTAATATTATAAGACCCAACAATTCCCATTGACACCTTCACTGCATAAACTATCAGAAGTGTTTTTAGTTTTTTATATATTTTTTAAATAATTCTTTAAGTTTTCTATATAAATAACATGAACATAAACACATTATTTCTGCCTTTTAGGTTGGAATTCTATTGTGGAGAATAATACCTAAATTAGGAGCGAATTCAGCATGTATGAATGCGATGCAAAATGCTTTATTAAGCATAGTTTTAGCATAGACTCCACAGCCCTTGTAGTCCAAGGCTACATTATGATCTTAGCAGTGTACACTGCAGGGGGGTGTCTCAGTCTGCCCAAGCATAAAAAAAGGCACATTAAACCAGCTATTTATAGCCCTATTCAGTGATGGCCTCATCCTCCATGAGATGGTGCGTCTTTTGTTCTGAGTTGCGTCAGGATCTTGGAACTGATTTCCTTGCCTGCAGTATAGTTATATTAGCTATTTAAGTTTTTCTTGGTTGACCTATTACAAGTGTTTTTTTCTTATTGAAACAGCAGTTGACACAAATGCATTACTTAATTTCCACTCAGCAAATGTTTTAAGTGGCTACTTTACATCCCACCTATACAAGTACACATTAATATTACATTTTTATTTACATGTTGGCTTACTCCCATAAAGAATGTGTTCTTATACACATTTCTACCCATTTAAAAGAAGCCTTATGGCCAAGGGCACCCTTTCACTCCAGGGCCCACATTGGCCATACAGTAGTCAATCGGAAGGGTAATTTTAATTATAGCAAGAGACAGGAAGTCTCTGTTATCTGGTTCTTTAATTTTGTCTGAAACAGTATCCTGTATCTCTAAGAGGCTCCATATGAGACCTGGCATATTTAAACACATTTACAGCCAGATCTGACCTTCAGCAACCCTCTAAGAAGAAAATCATGGATGCAGGTTCTCTAGTAACAGGTTATCCGCAGCCAGGATTTTCTGAGACGTAAATCTGACGTTGGTGCAGCTCTGCTCTTTTGAGGAGTCTAATGAAAACCAATCATAGAGTGTGATCTGTCCATCTGCTCTCTGTTTATACAATTAGAAAGGACTTTGTGTACCATTGA